GATGATGATGTATGTTTGGGGCTGCATTGCAATATTGATTGTTCGGATCATTGGTATCTAAGTCTTCCGCTGTGCTATTTTATACTTTGTATTGAAAGGTCGGTTCTTGTTCTGGTCTGCACCTATACGGTATGCAACAATAGCATACTGCATAGCATACTGCATAGCATACTACATAACATACTACATAGCATACTAGCATACTACCTCGCATGCTACATGGCATTCTACATAGCGTGCTACATAGCATAGTACATAGCATACTAGCATACTACATGGCATTCCACATAGCATACTAGCATACTAGCATACTACATGGCATACTACATGGCATGCTACATGGCATACTACATAGCATAGTGCATAGCATAGTACATAGCAGCATAGTACATAACATAGTACATAGCATACTAGACAGTACATAGCATAGTACATAGCATAGTACACAACATAGTACATAGCATACTAGACAGAGCTCTGTGGAGTATGCCATGGGGGAATCATCAGTATTTTCCCACTGTTGTGATTCCGTACATGCGTGCCATATGTTGTGTCCACACTTCGCCAGTCAAATTTGGACCCTGTCCCATGGAGACCGGCTGGAAGACTGGTGCCTGTTGCAGACCTGGCCCTAGGACAGCAGATGGCCGAAACCATGGCGCGAAACGGCCAGATGTTTCTGGAAGGCAGCAGCTGGCTGTTGGTATATGGGAGATGATAGAGGATAGAAACATCTGCAGCAAACGTCCCACAGACGGGAAAGCGTCCGGCTTTAGTGCTCTGGACCCTGTGTGAACTCTGCAGTAAGTAGCATATGTATGCTGTGCATCTATTACTCTCTTCACCTGAATAGAACATATATTGTCGTTATCGCTGTATCTGGATTAAAAGTTTCCCCAAATACAGCTGTAACGAATTTCTGTTCTATCCAAAGTAAGAAGGTAGTATGTCCCTTGTAATCACTACGGTGTTCCCAAATTTTAGTTTTCTACAGGCCACACAGTCAAAAACACATTTTTGGATGTCATTGTATTAGTTTTCTGCACACTGCACAGTCGGCGCCAACCGTTTTTTTTTTTTTTTTTTTTTTTTTTTGCCACCCGGTTCTTAGGATGCCATTGTAATTTCATCTGGGGATCACAGAGGTTAAAAAAACAAGAAAAAAGAGAAGAAAAGGATTTCCATATGGATTGCAGACACACTTTAGGATGTCATTGTGGTATGTGTAATATAAGTTTGCTTTCTTAGACTACGGGCCGTGCTCCACCACTTACCAAATGTGCAAAATAAGAATGAATCTTCCGCTAGAACATTGAAAGGTTCATCGTCATATTTTTTGTCTTTTGTGCATGTCGAGAGTAGTGGAGCGACACCCTACATCACATTGTATGCAATACTGTGTGCTAGGTTCGACTAAGCACCTATATATATATATATATATGCCGTTATGGCATGTGCAATATCGGTTCTCCAAAGAGGCATACTCATGCTAAAGACTTTGCAAAGAATTTGGCCATAATTGCGCTCTTCATTCATTGAAGAAAGTCCTAGTCCTAGTGCAAGTATGCCCTAACTTTGCTTCCATAGGCCACAGACAGGTTTTATGCAATTCTGAACTAAGGCCTGCCCAGAAAACATCAGCGGGAGTACCCAGCAGGCAGGGACAATTTGGAAAATGTGTACCAAGGTAATAAACCAAATGGCGCATCCCCAACATTTCCTTCGGGAGGAGGGGGGGAGTGGCCGGGCGGGCGGGGGAAAGAGCCATGCCTGACCCTTCCCTGTTTTGGGTTTGTCTGCAGCCTCAGCCTTGGTTTCAGTAAGGTTCTCAGAACCTTGGTTTCATGTATATTGGTAGAGCATTTAAGGGATGTGGAGAAAGTCGTCATAGGGGCTTACTCTTTATCAATTGCCCGCGTGTGTGCCTTTTCTCCTGGTCTGTTTGTGCAGGCGCGAGGAGGCGGAGGTGGGGGAGGAGGGGGCTCATTGCTGAAGAAGAAGAAGGAAGTGCCATGCAGCTACACTTTAGACAGATTTTTTGTCCGATCGACCTCCTCTGCAAACCCCCGCTCTCAAGAGCAGACTCCTCTCCGAAACAGCACCACACTGACGTCAGGTGGAGAGTCGATAACACCGGCTTCAGTATCGCACAAATCAACTGCCAACCAGCCAATTGCTCATGTGGATGGGAAGAGGAGCAGTCTGCTTGGAGTAGATCGCGATTCCCGGCTGTTCGCAGGGGCGGAAACTGCAAATGGGTTGAAACATGGCGCCGCTGAAGGCGCAGACGGCATTGGTGGTGTCCGCCGCCCTTTGGAGAGGCACAAAGACTCATCTGCGGAACCGGTGACCCATCTTGGGAACGGTACCAAGAGTACCGGTACCGGAGACAAAGGAGAGGGAAGCGTGCAGGAGGTGGCAGCACCCTTGCGGCGGGGTGGCAACTATGCTGAGCATGCGGCAGACGGCGCCGCTCCTGGGAACGGTGTCTCTGATGGCTATGGAGGAGGTCAATGCGGTGGCAAGGAAAGTGGAAAAGCTCCAGGTAAGCCCTGATCAGGTCTTGGAAGAGAGGTGTGGAGAGTTGGAAAGGGGTCGCTGGGGTGCGGTAGGGAAGAAGAGAAGAGCAGGAGGTTGTGTAAGGTTGGGGGGTATCTGAAAAGGAGGTTGTGTAAGGTTGGGGGGTATCTGAAAAGGTTGTCAAAACCAACCAGTGGAGTAGAGTGCCTGATTTCAGTGCAGGTGTGAAGGCCTGTTGGCGTTTGACAAGCGTGCAAGTAGGGTTGGGAGAAAGGTGGGTTGGAAGAAAGGTGGGCTGGGAGGAAGAGGGGTGTGAGGAGAGGAGAAGGGAAGATGGGATGGTGTAATGCTGTGAATATCTCAAAAGAATAAGATGAGTTTCCTTAAATGCTTGGCTTTTGAAGCATGCGAGTACTTGCCATTCTTTGCCAATGGGTCCAGGAGGGTTGGGAGGCAGGTGGGGGCTTCCCCCCCCGCCGCCCTTTGTGTGTATGTGTGGGGTAGGGAAAGGGGAAAGGGAGTAAAGCAGGAGGGAAGAGCGGAAGGCGTAACTGGAGTACTGAAAGCCAAAGAAGGGTTATAGAATGCTTGGTTTCAAATTTGTTCTGATTTCACTTGTCAGTGTTCATAGATTGCACTATAAATCCTTTTGGGTTTAGGGTTTTAGTGTTTAGGGTCTAGGGTTTGGGACATCTGTTAAAACTGGAACGACACAGAGAAGATTACCATGGAACCTGTGCAAGGATAACACACATAAATCATGAAATGGTCCAAATTTTTAGCTGTCGATACCTTGAACACATGTGGCGCTCAAGGCTTCTGCGAAGGGCACACCCCCATGAGCATCAAAGAACTGTTTAGGGTTTAGGGTTTAGGGTTTTAGGTTTTAGGGTTAGGTTTTGGGGGGTATCTCTTCAAAAGCCTGAATGACTAGGCGCTTTCAGATGAATCGGGTCACATTTTGGAGTCATTTGTTTTGTTTTGGTCACATTTTGGCCTCAGGTTCTTGTTTTGTGTCACATTTTGACAGATTAGACGTCTGCAGATGGACCAACGTAAGTGTGACAAATGCTGCGGCTGTGGTGTGTATTGATGATGATGCAGATTGCCCTGCACTTTTGGCACACAAATCGAGGAATTTAGGGCTAGAATCTGGAGCGAAGGTGGCCAGCCCGAAACGGAAATCTGTCGGGGGCTTGCGACCACAACTGGAAACCTCTGCTCTAACAAAGAGCGAACAACCGTGCGATGCATTTCAAAATCAAGTATACCAGAGCGTGCGTGGCCAGAAGCGGGCACGGAAGACTCCCACTGCGGTGAGTGTGCCACCTTGTTTACCTCCTACTGTCTTCCCCTGAAAGGCATGACCATTATAGCACTGTATCTCGCCTGGAAACTTCTCTAAATACACTATAACGGCCAGCTTGATGGGTGATGTGCGATGGTACTTCTTAATGGATCTGTTGTCTTTGCCATGTGTATTTGCAGTTTCTGTCCCTGGAAACCAGTGATGGCCACGGTCCATGTCTGGCTCAGTTCTGCACATACCTCTGAACTAGAAGCTGGATCTTCCTGTCCCTTAGGACCTACTTCAAAACTGGAACGATGCAGAAAAAATCAGTATGGCCCTTGCAAAAGGAGTGATAAATGGTCCGACTTCTTATTATTTTAATTAAGAAAAGATGGAGGTTCGTCTAATGGCATGCTTGTCGGGGAAAGGGGGGGTGGAGAGAGAGAGAGAGAGAGAGAGAGAGAGAGAGAGAGAGAGAGAGAGAGAGAGAGAGAGAGAGAGAGAG